CCAGAAGTGATTGTAAGGGAGACAGAGAAAGATGCTTGAGAGGACAGGAATTTGGAGAAACGTTTGTCAAGGCCAGGTTTGGCCACCTTGCCAAGTGAGGCCCTGGCTGGCTCGGCCTGCTCTCTGGATTGGAGCAGGTGAGTGCTGGCTAGGCCACACTGTGGAAAGCACGGGGTTTCTCAAGTCAGATGACCCCGGGTTCGATTCCTCGCTTTCCCACTTCCGTGCCGTCTGCACTCCAGCAGCTGACGTCACCTCCGAGCCTGAGTTACTTCATTGTGAAATGGGAATAATCAGTGCATCTACGTCACACGCTTGTTAAGTGGTTGAATGATAACAGGAAAATAAAACATTTAGAACAATGATCCCCTTGCCACAAGTGTTAAAGTGTATCCCTTTCTGTCCCGCACAAGCCGAGCAGAGCTCACCCGTCTGCCTGAGATGGCAGGATTATGCCTTTTATTTGTTTAAGCAAAAGTTTTGAGAACGTCTGTGAACCAGCAGTGTTTCCAGCACTGTTTCGGGTGCGGAGGCTGGAGCAGTGAGCAGACAAGGTGCTTCTACCGTTGCTCATGTGCCGTCGGGGAGCTGGGCCACAGGTAAGCAGAGCCAGGAATAAATCCCGTCATTTCCAGAGGTGAATGCACTAGTCCCCCGTGGTTGCTGTAGCAAGTGACCGCACACTGTGACTTAACACAACAGAAACCCGTTCTCTCGCAGTGCTGGAGGCTGAAGTCTGTGATCGAGGTGTCGTGGGCCCTGCTCCCTCTGGAGGCTCAAGGGAAGGGGCTTCCGGCTCTCTTGCAGCCTCTGCCAGTTGCTGGCAGTCCTCAGCTTCTAGACGCCTCACCTGGCCTCCTCCTTCACCTGGCGCTCTCCCTGGGTGTCTCTGCATCCAGATTTTCCTCTTCTGTTTTTCATTTTTATTTTTAGAGACAAAGTTGCTCTCTGTCATCCAGGCTGGAGCGCAGGGGCGCAATCATAGCACTGCAACCTCAACCTCCTGGGCCAAGCGGTCCTCCCTCCACAGCCTCCCGAGTAGCTGGGAACAGAGCTCAGGCTTTCTTCTTCTAAGTGATATTGGCTTTGAGGCTCAGCCTGATCCCCTTTTATATATAAAAGTTTTCTTTTTGGTGCCACAAAGAAAAATTAGTCCTGGGACAAAGGACCTCCAAGCAAAGCAATTCTTTTTACTTCCTGCAGAAAGGGTACTCCCGTTAGCAATCTTGCCATGAGAGTACAATGATCAAAGGAAAGCAGACACATTTACTTCTTCCTAGTTTGGCGTTGCTCTTACTGCTGTGTCTGATCTCCTTTGGCTGGAGCCAGGCCTCACAATCTAAGCTAAAACCCGATTGGTTAATAACTTGAAACTTTTCTAAACAGGTAAAAGCAATGGAGAGCAAAAAAGGAATCCAAATAAGGAAGAGACATAGGCTGTGAGCTGGGACAGGCCTGTGAGCGCGTCCTGCACAGACAGCTTGGGTAAGATACAAGGACACAGAACGTACTACGTGCCTGTAAGCATGTCCAAAAGCTACCTAGGGTAGGGCTTCTAGCAAAAAGCAAGAAGGCTTTTGAGAAAGTGTTTAAAACAAACTATTATTTCTCACACTTAGGAATTTTTCTTAAACAAGAAAGGAAACTTTGAAGAGGGACTTTTCTAATTCCTATATCCCCCACGATGTCCTGTTAAGTTGAGTATACCTGCAAAGACGCTCTTTCCAAATAAGGTGGAATCCCCAGGTTCTGGGTGGACATGAGTTTTAGGGGAACTTTATTCAACACAAGACAGTAAAATATGCTATGAGGATGAGGGAACTAGATAAAGTGGCAGAGAGCAGGGATGGAGTTACTGTCGCTGGGAGTGAGGTGGGGGGTCAGGGGGTACCCCTCTGAGTAGGTGACCTTTGAACTCACAGGGAAAGACAATAGGACATCAGCCCTGGGAAGGGTAGTATGCACTTCTTAGGGTAAATTTCTTTTTTGTTTCTTTTAATGTATATTTTTTAGTGGAAACAGGGTTTTGCCATGTTGGTCAGGCTGGTCTTGAACACCTGGGCTCAAGTAGTCCACCCACCTCAGCCTCCCAAAGTGTTGGGATTACACGTATGAGCCACCGCAACCAGCCCCAGGGTAAATTTCTTTGCAGACAATTAGTTTTCATCCTAAACCAGGACATCATCACATAGATGACAGGCTAAAATCAACTGGGAAGTTAAAAAACTATGTTATTTAAACAGAATCTCTGGGGGTTAGGCCCACACCTGGGTATTTCTGAAAGCTCCCCAGGTGATTCTGGTGAGAGGCTGGGATTAAGAAGCCCAGTGGAACCCTGGCTCCGTGACAGAATACCATTTTCTGAATGCTTTATATGGATGTTCTTACCAAACCCACTGCTATAGCAGGGATTACCCATGCCTGGGTCCCAGGGCATGGGGCACATGCGTGGGGGTGCAACCTGGGCATCGGGATTTCTCAGGCTCCCCAGGTGATGCTATCATGCCCTGTTTAGCCCTGGCTGTGTCCTGAAGATGGCTGGGGGTGAGGTATGCAGAGGAAGACATAAATCGGGCTAGAAAAGGGCCTCCACAATTCCAAGAACGTCACACTTTGGAAGTCACACAGTAATCCCAGGGTCTCAGGTCCCCAGTCAAGGAGCTGTAGAAAGACGGATTCAGAAAAGGAGGTGGGAGGCAGTGGAGGGCCCTGGCTCAGAGCAGAGGCACGGATGTTGCCCGGCCCAAGTTCAAAGCCCAGACCGTTCAGTATAGCACTTTCTGTGACCTCAAGCAAGCAGCTTCACCTCTTTCACCTCAGTTTCCTCATCTGTGAAATGGAAAAAATAACAGTAACCAATCCACAGGGTTGTTGGAAAACTAAAATTCAGGAGCACATAGAAAGCCTTTCCCGCAGGGCCACATAACCCTCAGCAGTTAGTCCACAGGAGCTGGGATGTTTCTGCAGAGGCATCTGTCACCCACCCTACACTCTAGCCTAGTGCCCTGGGAGCCCCAGATCTTAGTGGGACGCTCGGTGACCATCAGCTGGCCGGCTCAGCCCAGGCTGCTGATCCTCCAGATTTGAAATAATGTCAGGGATGGCATTTCTGAGCTTGCCGACACCAGCAAAGGTTCCAGACCGATGACTGGGAGCGAGTCGCTGAGCTCCGGAGCTCTTTGTAAGAGGAGCTTCTGCTTGATCTTCAGACAGAGCTTGGACCTGGCTTTGCTACTTGTCTCTCAGGGGATGGGGCCAGCCAGGAGCACCTATCAGCACAGGGCCTGGCCAGTGTACAGTTTAGCCTTGATGAGCAGATGAACCCCTGACCCCTGTTATGAGCATGGGTGGCAGCTGGGCTGTGGAGACCCTGTTTCTTGGGGGACCAGAGATGGGCTGCTGCCTGGGATGCCACAGGCCCTGCCTTAGGGCTCCAGGCTGTGCCTTGCCACCCTGCCTGGCTCAGGGGCCAGCCGGCACCCTGAGCTGTCCCCAGTAATACTACAAAGCTGAGCTGTCTTTTCCCACAGCGTGCCGCATCTGTCTTCATTGAAGCATGCTCTTGGTAATTTCATTTGGGGTTTTCCATTAAAAAGTTTGATTAATTCCATAAATATTAAAATAAGACAGATAATTAGAATCCAGGTACTCACTGTTACACAAAAGCGGTAAAGTCGGCACTAAATTATTATTATTAATAATAAGCACTCATACAGCACTGGTAATCAGTGCACAGGAAAAGAGACTCACAGTCGTTGTTATTAACATCGTTCCCCCTCAAGACAGTCTTGGGTAGTGGCTCTCCCTGTGTCCTAGGAGTAGAGTGAAGCCCAGTGAGATGAAGTGATTTGCAAAGACGAATAGGGTGGGAGCCTCATTTTTAGCTCAAGCCTGGGGGTGCCCTGACTTACTAGTCTCCTGCTTCTGGACCCCGGAGGCAATTTCTCCCACTGGCTCCTTCCTGGCTTCCTCCTGTTCAGAGGTGGTTTGCAGGTCCTCTGTCTTCAGCAGCGCGGAGCAGTCGTGGCTAGGGATTGTGGTCGTAAAGTCGAATGGTCGTAAGTTGCATAGGTGGTAAGTCGATCAATACCTGGTACCTACGCAACAATCCTGCAGGATGCAGGGTGTGCACATGGACCCCAGAGCCCAAAGTAAGAAAAGAAAGCAAAACAAATCCAGATAAAACTGTGATATTGTGCTGGCCTAGAGCCAGAACCAGAGCAAAACTATTTTATAAAATGCAAAACTGTTTTTAGATAAGTTGAAATGGCTGCCCCATTCTCCTCACAATAACTGCTAGCCTTGGCTACTGTAAATAAAACTGCTAGTTTGCTTTGCAAACTAGCCACTATGTAAAAGCTGCTTACCTTTTCTTATCAGTAACTGCCAGAATTGCTAGCCTTTGCTTACCGGCAATTGCCAGACTAAGCAGCCCAAGCTAGTTCCATCCTGGCTCCTGTGACTTGTAATAAGTAACTAAGGTCTGTGATTTCCACCTTAACCAGATAATGTGTAAACAAATGTTTATCTTGACTTCTGTAAACCACTTAAGTAACAAACGGAATGACAAAAGTCCCCATCCCTTGGAATGTCCGGAGACCCCCACCCTCATCTCTGCCCAGGAGGTAATTTACAGAATCCACTAGCCCTCGGAATGTCTGAAGCCTTTTCATCCCCATCCCTGCCCCTCACCCCCACTCCCAAGGTGGTTTTTCGGGTATAAAAAATCGTGGCACCCTCCTGTTGCCGCCACAGGTTGGAGAGACGTGAGTCCTCTGTGGTCGCCGGCATAATAAATGACCCTGCAATCTGGCATACTTTTGTCTTGTGATAACTTTCTACACTCGGTCAAATACAACAAAAGAATATGTATTCCAGTCATTGCGTCAGGGCCGATCCTGCTTACCAATGGCACTTTTCTCAAGATACACAAGTCATGCCCAGTAGGCTCTGGGCCAGACACGTGCAAGGCGCCGCCTGCTCCATAGCGCCCGGGGCGGGTCAGAGCATCTCCAGCTCCACAAAGACCCACTCCTTCAAATCTCTCCCTAGGAGACAAGCCATTTGCCAGAGCCACATAATGGAGCATTCAGCCTTTGAATTTCCACATCTCTGGAGACTCTTCCAGGGCTATGAGGGTGACTGCCCGGGAGGCAGGGAGGAAGGCTGGAAGGAGGTTTGGAGCCTTTATCTGATTAGAAAGAGGATTCCGTAGGCCCAGAAAATCAAGTGTGTCGTGAAGACCCCACCAATGAGGGGAGAGCCTTACAGGGATGTCCTCTCACCCCCTTTCCCCGGAGAGGCAGCCAGGTCCTGGGCAAGAGTGGTGCCGTCTCCCGTGTGCCCATGAGAAGACGCGTGCCGAGGGGGAGGTGGAGGCAGTGCAGGGCCCTGAGAAGGAGCCCACCCTGCGCCTGCGTGCTGGGGGCCAGGCTGCTGGTTTCGGTGCGTGACATGTGGACTGCTCTCCACCTCGCTCCTATTCCTTTGGCTGCCCCGACAATGCACTCCATTATTCCAGTATTAATTATGAGGTGGCTGAAGCGAGGGCTTCTCCACCCAGAGGCCCCAGAAAACAAGGGAGGGAGCCCAGCCTGTGTCCGCCCGCGGCCCTGCGCGTTTTCACAGCACGGTTTGGGCTCCAGGACGAGGCTGCGGCAGGGCCGGGCCCCACTGCTGGCGGAATCAGTGGGATTCCCAGAGGCTCCCCAGGGAGCGGCAGCACCCAACTCCTCTGCCCCTCTGCGGCTGTCAGAAGCCAGCGCGCAATCCCTCACCTAAGCCTTCTCACTTTCGTTTTCTTTTTTTCTTTTTGAGACAAAGTTTCGTTCTTGTTGCCCAGGCTGGAGTGCAATGGTGTGATCTTGGCTCACTGCAACCTCCAACCTTCCAGGTTCAAACGATTCTCCTGCCTCAGCCTCCCAAGTAGCTGTGATTACAGGCGCCCACCACCATGCCTGGCTAATCTTTTATTATTATTGTTTTTTTTTATTTTTAGTAGAGACGAGGTTTCACCATGTTGGCCAGGCTGGTATCAAACTCCTGATCTCAGGTGATGCACCCACCTCGGCCTCCCAAAGTGCTGGGATTACAGGCAAGAGCCACCGTGCCCGGCTGAGCTTCTCACTTTCATCAGCCTGGCACTCCCTCCCTTGGCCAGGCTCCAGGCGGGAGGACAGAATGGACTCTGGGCCTGAAGGCATGGGGGCGTTTGGCCTGGGCAGTCTCTTAGCAGGCCTGGGCACAGCTCTTCCTTTCCCTCCGCAGAAGCTCAGCCTCTCACAGAACCTCCACCCTGCACAGACTTGACTAATGGCCCCAGGAACACACACACTGCTTCCAGAGCTTTCTTGTAGTGATGCTGGCGCCATTTTGCTGGTTTCTGGGGCGGGGTGGGTGCCCCTTCTGAAAGGCCCTTTGCAAGAAAAGGGTGAAGGCGGCTCCAGCCTCCTCATCCAGGCCCGAGGTGTCACTGAGTGCCAGCTCCTGCCTGGAGTTGCATGGATTTGGCCTTTATGGACTTCTGGAGCAGATATTTGATTTTTTTTTTTGAGATGGAGTTTCACTCTTATTGCCCAGGTTGGAGTGCAATGGTGCGATCTCGGCTCACCGCAACCTCTGCCTCCTGGGTTCAAACAATCCTCCTGCCTCAGCCTCCTGAGTAGCTGGGATTACAGGCACGCACCACCATGCCCAGCTAATTTTGTATTTTTAGTAGAGATGGGGCTTCTCTATGTTGGTCAGGCTGGTCTCCAACTCCTGACCTCAGGTGAGCCTCCCACCTTAGCCTCCCAAAGTGCTGGGAGTACAGGCGTGAGGCTCCGCACAATCTTACTTGGAAATAAGGTCCTTTTAGATTCAGATGGGATCACACTCGATTCGGGTGGACCCTCCTCTAATGACTGGTGTCCTTAGAAGCAGAGGAAACAGAGACGCAGGAACACACTGGAGACAACGCCTTATGACAACTGAGGCAGAGGTTGGAGTGGGGTGTCTAAGAGCCAAGGCACACTACCCGGGAGCTGCAAGAGGCACGGCAAGGTCCCCTCCTCGGAGCCGTCAGAGAGCGCGAGGCCCTGCCCATGCCTTGATTCCAGACTTCCAGCCTCCGCAACTGTGAGACAACTTTCTGTTGTTCTTACCCCCTCACCCCCCGCCCCAGTTTGTGTAACTTTGTTGAGGCAGCACTAGGGAAAGAGTACAGCCTTCCACCCACCTCTCTTTCCCTCCCCTGTGCTGGAGCGCCGGGTGTGGATGGGGAATAGGCCCCGCAGGGTTTCCCATGGGGGCGACCCACAGGTGCCTGATTGAGCACCTGTGCGAAGCAAACAAAACGAGACACCTAGTTAAATTTGAATTTCACATCAACGACAAATAAACTTTTTTTTTAGCTTAAATATATCCCAAATATTGCCTGGGATATACTTATACTAGCAAATGATTAGCAATTGCTCTGAAATGTATTTAACTAGGCCTGAGTGTCTGTGTTTTATCTGGCAACCCTAGTCCCCTGCTCCAGCCTCCCTCCCCTGCCATTTTCTTCTAGACTATGGCTCACAGAAGGACCCCTGGGGGCTCTGACCTGCTCCTGGAGCACAGCAAGGTGGCGGCCAGCTAGCACAGACGGAACTGCTCTTAAATCCACGCGTGCCGGAGCTCCTGGCTCCCCACGCACCAGCAACAGCCTGCAGTCTGCACATCATCTCTCCAGCTGGGTGCAAGTCTGGCAGGATTTGAACATACAGAGGAGGCAGAGGAGGTGGCAGGGAGGGGAGGATGAGGCCTGCCTGGGGCTCCTTCCAGCAGGGGTCCAAGCCTCAGGTGCTTCCTGCTGAGCAGTGCTTGGCTTTGGCCTGTGCACTTTGATTTGTTCTATTTTTAACTGTCTTCAATTTCCCTCCTGGGGAAGGGGAGAAGGAGGAGGGAAGCAGAAGGTGGGGTGTGGGGAGTGAATCAGGGGGACTCAGGAGTGGCTGGCAGGGTTGCTGAATTCTAGGAACAGCAATCCCATGGCAAAGGCAGTGGGCAAGGCTTTTTGGGAAAGAGAGAGAGGGTGGCCGGCCAGGCCGGAGCACAGGGCACCTGAGAGAGCTCAGGGACAGAGGAAGTCCCGTTCTTGGCTGAGGAGAGACTGAGGGGCCTGGGCTTGGGTGCTAGACCAGCCTGCTCAGAAGGACTCTGCAGCACCCAGTGACTGAGTGGCACTTGGTGGACAGACTCTGAGCACACACGCTTGGGTGACTAGAAGGACAGTGGTACCATTTCCCAAAAACAGATCCCAAGAAAAGGAGGAACCATGGGAAGCAGAGACCCCGAGCCCACAGCGTGCTGGAAATGGCCACAGGCATTTGTGGATGGTGACTGTCCAGCAGGGTGTGACTCATTCCAGAGAGCCTGGGCATTCGGGCAGGGCGGCCACTTGCCCCTTGGGGCTGAGGGGCACAGAGTCAGTTCCTTCCATGAGTGACAGCAGGACTCACGAGAAGGCCCATCCTGTAACTGGTGAGTGTGGAAGGGTGGCTCTGCAGAGATCAGACCTGGGGGCCAGGGTGGTGGAGGGCTTGGGGAGGGGGCACCACATTCTGGATGAAGGACAGCTCTGCAGGTCTTTGTAGCAGGATGTGCCTTGTTCCTGGGGCCAGCAGGAATGCAGTTTCTGGGCAGGATGCCTTTTCTGAGCTCTTGGACAGAAGGGCACAGGGCTTAGCCCATTCATTCGCTCACTGCTTACCCGCTTAACCAACAAGTTCTGTCACCTGCCTAACACTGTTGTGGAGCCTGGGGATGCAAACATGCGTGATCCCGAAGGGTTTAGAGTCTAAGGTCAGACACAAGAACCAAGGAGGGCCATCACTGTGGAGCCAGGAGACCGCGGGATGGAAAGCCCTCAGGCCTTGAAGTCACACATGCCTGAAATTGAATCTTGGCTCAGCTTTTCACAAAAGCTCTTTCGGATTCCGTTTCCTCATCTGTAAAATGGGCAAATGCTCAAATCTACCTTCAGGGTTGTTATTGTTGGATTAGAGATGCTGAACCTAAATTCCCGCACATAATGCGTGGCATGCGACAGGCCCTCAGTGAATTGTAGCTGCTGGAGAAATACATGCAGAGCACAGTGGACAGACACCTAAAGAGTGGCTTGAGCTTGTCCTATTTGACCTCAAATATTGAAAATTGGTGGGGTTTTGTAACCGCCCAAAGAGTTCATCTTGCTTGCTGCCTGGACAGAGCCAATTCAAGACAAGGGAATTGCAGTAAAGAGTAGTTCACACAGAGTCAGCTGTGTGGGAGACGGGAGTTTTATTGTTACCCACATCAGTCTCCCAGAGCAATTGGGGAGCAGAGGATTTTTTTTTATGAGATGGAGTCTTGCTCAGTCGTCCATGCTGGAGTGCAGTGGCGCGATTTCGGCTCATTGCAACCTCCACCTCCCGGGTTCAAGTGATTCTCCTGCCTCAGCCTCCTGAGTAGCTGGGACTACAGGCACATGCCACCACGCCCGGCTAATTCTTTTTGCATTTTCAATAGAAACAGGGTTTCACCGTGTTAGCCAGGAAGGTCTCTATCTCCTGACCTTGTGATCTGCCCACTTTGGCCTCCCAAAGTGCTGGGATTACAGGCGTGAGCCACCGCACCCAGCTGGTGAGCAGAGTGTTTCAGGATGACTTGGTGGGTGGGGGGAAGCCAGTGAGCCAGGAGTGCTGATTGGTCAGAAATGAAATCACAGGGAGTTGGAGCTGTCTTCTTGCGCTGAGTCAGTTCCTGGGTGGGGCCCCAAGATCAGATGAGCCAGTTTATTGATCTGGGTGGTGCCAGCTGATCCATCAAGTTCAGGGTCTGCAAAATATCTCAAGTGCTGATGTTGAGCAGGTTAGGAAGCAGTTTAGGAAGGGCCAGAATCTTGAGGCCTCCAGCTGCATGACTCCTAAACCATAATTTCTAATCTTGTGGCTAATGTTAGTTCTAGAAAGGCAATCTAGTCTGCAGGTAAGAAGAGGTCTGCTTTGGGAAAGGGCTGTTACTGTCTTTGTTTAAACTATCAACTAACTTTCTCCCAAAGTCAGTTCAGCCTGTGTCCAGGAAGGAACAAGGACAGCTTGGAGGTTAGAAGCAAGATGGAGTCAGTTAAGTTAGATCCCTTTCGCTGTCTCAGTCAGAATTCTGCAAAGGTGGGTTCAGTCTCACGAGGACTCTACTGTTATAATAAAACAGGGCCAAGAGGAGAGGTATTTGGCATTGAGCCTTAGTTAATCTTCATATCAGGTCTAGAAGGCAGTTTAGATTTTGGAGCCACAGTTCTTTGGCTTCAAATTCTAGCTTTGCTGTCTGTGAGCTGTGTGACTTTGAACAAGTTCCTTTACCTCTCTGTGCCTCAGATTCTGCAGCTCTGGGGGCGGGATGGGGGCAATAATATATCTATTGTGTAGGAATTTTTGGGAGGACGAAGTGAACTCATAGGTGCAAAGCATTTAGAGCACTGTCCAGGCCTGGTGCAGAGGCTCAGGCCTGTAATCCCAGCACTTTGGGAGGCTGAGGTGGGAGGATCAGTTAAGGAAGGGCAAAGTGTGTGCACTAGGTGGAAAGGGACTGTGTCCTCACCACACAGCTCCTTCCTGAGGGGAGAGGCCACAATGGAGGGAGGCTGAAGACAGGTCCTCGTGAAACCCACATTGGGGGCAGTGGCCGACGAGGGAGAGCCTTAGAGAGGTAGGAGATCCGGAGAGGAAAGCTCTGCATGCAGAGAAGGGCAGGTTTCTAGAAGCTGCTGGAAAGTGCAAGAAGGGGCCGGATCCAGAAAGGGCATGGGGTTGGCACCCAAGACGGTAAGCAATTGGGCAGCAGAGGGAAGAGCTCAGTTGTTTCAGAGCAGAAGTGACCATGTGGAGCAGAGGAGAGCAAACCCCCTTCATGAAACCTGGCTCTGAGGGGAACCGAGTTGTGGGGGTGCACATAGCAGGCCTGGGGCCACCCCTGGAGGAGCTGGCCTGGGAGGGCCTCTGGGCCTGGTGGCCAAAGCCTTTATTTTGGTTAAAGCAAGGATGGAAAATGATTTGCTTTCCAGGGTTCCTATTCCGGGTGGAAGAATCAATCCAAGGCCACACACACAGGAAACCGTGTGATGTGTGATGTGTGCTGCTGGGGTGCAGGTGGCACTCGGTGTCCTCAGCCCCAGCCTGGGTAGCAGCATCTCCCTGGAGCCCAGTCTCAGCACCCCTCAGGGCTGGCCCAAGGGAACGAATGGAGGTAATTAGAGAAAAGACCCACGACTAAAATCATGCACACCATGGACCAGGGTGCCTCAAAGGAGCTTCTGACTCTGGCTCTCTGTGCGGTCCCCCCTGTGGATGAGGTGTCCAGTCTTGGGGTTCAGAAAACAGCACCCCAAAATGAAGGCCTCAGAAGCAGCCTCAGAAGCAAAAGCTTTTCTCTGACCTTCCCATGCCCTCCTGCCTCTCAGCCCCATTCCCCCAGCCATGGAAACTAGAATCCCTTTTCCTCGAGGTGAGTCAGAGAAACCACAACCTCTTCTCCCCAAAGCCCACCTTAAAACCTAAAAATATTGCTCAAAATTTCTCCCACCATGCTGCTTAAGAACTGGCCACAAAGAAACTCTCTGACCTACCTTGTTGGACTGCGTAAGACCCCATTGTGGAGAGGACCCTGCCCACACCCAGAAGAAAGGAAGCTGCCCAGAGAGGCCAGAAAGAATCTGGACAGGCCCTGCTGGGCGTCCTGCCCAGGCGCCTAACATTAGCCCGTGCTCTTCTGTGCAGTCATATTTCACCGCTGTCCAGAATTTGTTGAACCTAAGCAGAAAACAGTTTCCCCTTATCTGTGGGTCTTATTCTGAAGGCTCCCATGTACACTCATTAAATACATTTGTGTGCCTTTTCACCTATTACTCTGCCTTATGTGAGCTCATTTTTCTTTTCTTTTTTTTTTTTTTTTGGAGACAGAGTCTCTCTCTGTTGCCCAGGCTGGAGTGCAGTGGCATGATCTTGGCTCACTGCAACCTCCACCTCCCAGGTTCAAGCGATTCTCCTGCCTCAGCCTCCCTTGTAGCTGGGATTACAGGTGAGGTGCACTCCACCATGCCTGGCTAATTTTTGTATTTTTAGTAGAGACTGGGTTTCACCATATTGGTCAGGCTGGTCTGTAACTTCTGACCTCAGGTGATCCGCCCACCTCGGCCTCCCAAAGTGCTGGGATTACAGGCGTGAGCCACCACATCCGGCTGTGAGTTCATTTATCAGCAAAACTTCAGAGGGCCGAGGTTTCCCTTCCCCCATTGTGCCAGGCATGGGGATGGGCAATGACACAGCAGGCCTCCAGGAGCCGCTGACATCTCCTTTGGGGGAGAGACCCTTTTCTCCACCACTCTCCTGGCGGGAATGAATGAACACGAGAACCAACAAGAGAGATTGGGGATCCTGAGCCCTGGGGCCACGAGAGAGCCCACTGGGCCTGGGACGGGGGTCAGTCTCAGGTGAGCTGTGCCCTCAGAAGCTTCCAGAAGCAGCACTGTGCACACTGTTGCCCAGTCGTAGAGAGACAGAATATTTTTATCTGCTGACTTTAGAAAATAAAAAGGACATCAAATGATTCCATTTCTGTGAACAATAGAGTCTGCTTCAGCTCCCTAATGGGGTTAGCAGGGAGAGAGAGAGGAGGAGAGGGCAGAGCGAGATGGGAGCGGTCTGCCGGGAGCGAGATGCCTCCCCTGGGCGCAAAGCCAAAGGCCCTGGGGAGGAGCCCAGCGCAGATGGAGGCCGATGGACCCTGGGGTCTGGGCTCTGCCCTGGGTGTGGTGCACGCTCCTCACACGCAGCTTGCAGGGGCCTGTGGGCAGCACAGTCACCCGTCACCTGCTGTGGCCTTCGCTTTGAAACATTAAGTAGCTCTTCAATAATTTAAACCGTTTCTTTCTACACCATAAACGACTGACTTTAACATTTTTTCAGTTTAGTTTTGAAATAAAGGCCAGTGATCCGGAGGTTTGTGGATGTTTTGCAGAATAGAAGCTACGGAGGAGGCCATTGTCTGGATGGGGCAGTGGCTTTCTGAGCTCAGGACACACCCCTGGGCCACACTGTCCCAGTGCCCGGTGGGTGCCAAGGAGCTGGACTTGCAACTTGGGCAAGACACAAGGGCCCAGACGTGCCATGGCACCATGGAGCAGGCTCCAGTCCATCGCTACTTGCTTCGTGCAGACGCAGGGATGGGAGGCGACAGGCTTTCCTGGGAAGTGGGAGAAACTGCACTCAGCTGGATTTGAGGAGGTGTCCAGCACATCAGGACCTGGAGAGGCCCGAGAGGGAGTGGCGCAGGCATTTGAAGTCACTGGGGGCCCCGAACGCCCAGCTTGGGAGCCACAAGGTAAGTGGGAAGAGCATAGGTTCTGGAGTGATTTCAACCCTGGAACAAGAGCCAGTCAGGGGTTAAGTGGAAGCCCGATACACTTAAGCCCCAGAAGGTGGGGTTGGGGGTGGGGAAATGATGAGGTGAATTGCTTTTGTTTTACCCCTTCTGTTGAATGGTTGCAAACACAAACTTGAGTTCTAATAAAGAATTGCATTTCAAAAAAAAATGGTAGCTTCCCACCCTCCATGGATCTGGGCAAGCCATTTATCTGCGGAAGCCCAGGGTTCTGTGTTCCAGAACACAGTCTGTGGGACCGCCCTGGACTGGCTCTGCGGGGGCGGCCCGGGGGACTCGTCAGCAGCCCCGCGTGCCCGCTGCATATGGACTTGGGTCTAACCTGGGCTGAGGGCCGGGAAGAACCATCCTCAGCACAGTCCTGACCCGCAGAAGCCCGGCTCCAGGCAGCCTGGAAACAGCCTCCCCAGCAACGCCCGGAGACATGTCACAAACACCCTGTGCTCAGGCCATGCTCCAAACACCCCATGTGCTCAAGTAGCTTCATCTCACCACAGCTCTTGGACCAAAATGCCCCATTTACAGAAAAGGACATTGAGTCACCACGAGGTTGAGTAACTCGTCCAGGTCTATGCTGCTCTGAAGGGAAGAAGCTGGGACAAGTCCCAGGCAGTCTGTCCCCGGAGCCCTGGCCTTGACCGCCACAGCTCTCGCTCTGTGTAGCCTCAGCCTCCCTTCCCCCTGGCCCAGGCACTGCTGCTTACCCTTTGAGCCCAGCGCAGCCTCACCTCTTCCAGGAAGCCTGCCTGACCCTCCAGGTCACTCTGAGGTCCTTATGCTGTGCTCACAGCCAGCCCTGCTCTGTTTACAAAGGATCTGTGTCTGCCTCCCAGTTGGACGCAGCACCACAAGGACAGGGATATTTTTTCTGGCACCTTCCGTGGTGCCTCTTGCATGCTCAGGCGTGCCTGCTGCTCACAGACTTGGGGGCCAACAGGTTGGGTGGCCTGACCCCCACTCCTACTTCCAGCTGGGCAGCTAGGCCTGTGTCTGCTTTGCTGTCTTGTGAGATTTCATTGACAAAAAAGAGCCGCAGCTAAAAACTAGTGGCAGACCATGTACGGGGGGTCTCACGGGATGTTAGGCTTGGCCCCTTGTGGGGTCCCTCCGGCGTCCTGGCCCCTGTGGTGGAGGTGCCCAGGGATGGTGATGGGTGATGGTGGCACAGCGGGCTCCAGGAGCTGCCCCAGTGCTTCCTCTGGGTAGGAGCCCCTTCCTCCACTGCCCTCCTGAAAGCCAGTCCTGAGGGTCCCGTCCCCCATGCTTGCAAAGCCCTCCATGGCGGTCCCAGGAACTGGACACCAGAGAACCCCTGACCAGGGACATCGTGAGCAACCCAGTGCTCTGAGGAGCTGGCGTCCCCCCCCCGGCCCTGGCCCAGCCTGGACACACATGCTTCTCCAGCAACAGTGCTGGGGGCGCTGGCTCTGCTGCCTCTCAGCCAGGCACTCCCGCAAGGGAGGCTGATGGGAGAGTGGGTAACATTGGACATGGAGGAAACTGGGGGGCAGGGGCAGCATGTAGTTGCCTTGCTATAGTCAGGCAGAAATGTGTGTGTGTGATGAAGGTGTGGCGAGTGTGTACGTGTGGTGAGGGTGTGTGCGTGTGTCTCTGTGGTGTGCGTGTGTGGTTGGTGAGTGTGTGTGTGGGATGAGTGTGTGATATGGTTTGGCTGTGTCCCCACCCAAATGTCACCTTAAATTATAGTTCCCATAATCCCCACGTGTTGAGGGTGGGACCTGGTAGGAAGTGATTAGATCATAGGGTGGTTTTCTCCTCCCATCATGCTGTTCTCATGATAGTGAGTGAGCTCTCACGAGGTCTGACGGTTTTCTAAGGGGCTTTTCCGACTTCATTTGGCACTTCTCCTTCCTGCCACCCTGTGAAGAAGGTGCTTTGCTTCCCCTTCACCTTCCACCTTGATTGTAAGTTCCCTGAGGTCTCCCAGCTATGCTGAACTGTAAGTGAGTTCAACCTCTTTCCTCCATAACTGACCCTACGTTGGCCTGCACTTTATAGCAGTATGGAAAGAGACTAATGCAGTAAATTGGCACCACAGAGAGTGGGGTACTGCTGTAAAGATACCCCCAAATGTGGAAGTGACTTTGGAACTGGGCAACAGGCAGAGGTTGGAACAGTTAGGAGAATTCAGAAGAAGACGGGAAAATGTGGGAACGTTTGGAACTTTCTAGAGACTTGTTGAATGGCTTTGACTGAAATGCTGATAGTGATATGGACAATGAAATCCAGGCTGAGGTGGTCTCAGATGGAGATGAGGAGCTTGTTGGGAACTGGAGTAAAGGTGATTCTTGCTCTGCTTTAGCAAAGAGACTGGTGGCGTTTTGCCCCTGCCCTAGAGATATGCGGAACTTTGAACCTGAGAGAGATGATTTAGGATAACTGGTGGAAGACATTTCTAAGCAGCAAAGCATTCAAGAGATAACTTGTGTGCTCCTAAAAGCATTCAGTTGTATACATTCACAAAGAGATGGTTTGGAATTGGAACTAATATTTACAAGGGAAGCAGAGCATACAGCCTGATGATGTGATAGGAAAGAAAAACCCATTTGCTGAGGAGATTTTCAAGTTGGCTGCAGAAACTCACATAAGTAATGAGGAGCCAAATGTCAATTACCAAGACAATAGGGAAAGTGTCTCCAAGGCATATCAGAGGTTTTCACAGAAGACCCTCCCATCACAGGCCTGGAGGTCTAGGAGATAAAAATGGTTTTGTGGGCCAGGCTTGCTGCTTTGTGCAGTCTTGGGACTTGGTGCCTTGCATCCCAGGTGTGGTTAAAAGGGGCCAATATACAGCTCAGGTTATTGCCTCAGAGGGTGTAAGCCCCAAACCTTGGCAGCTTACACATGGTATTGCGCCCGAAGGTGCACAGAAATCAAGAATTGAAGTTTGGGAACATTTGCCTAGATTTTTAGAGGATATGTGGAAATGCCTGACAGATGTCCAGGCAGAAGTTTGCTACAGGGGCAGAGCCTTCATGGAGAACCTCTGCTACAGCAGTGCAGAAGGGAACTGTGGGGTCAGAGCCCCCACACAGAATTCCCACTGGGGCACTGCCTAGTGGAGCTGTGACAAGAGGGCCACCATCCTCCAGACCCCAGAATGGTAGGCCCACCAACAGTTTGCACCATGCACCTGGAAAAACTGCAGACACTCAATGCCAGCCCATGGAGGCAGCCACAGGTCTGGAGCTTCCCAAGGCTGTGGAAGCCACCCTTTGCATCAGAGTAACCTGGATGTGAGACATGGAGTCAAAGGAGTTCATTTCGGAGCCTTAAGATTTACTGCCCTGCTGGATTTCGGACATGCATGGGGCCTGTAGCCCCTTATTGTGGCCAATTTCTCCCATTTGGAATGGCTGTGTTTACCTAATGCCTGTACCTCCATTGTATCTAGGAAGTAACTAACTTGCTTTTGATTTTACAGGCTCATAGCCAGAAGAAACTTGCCTTGTCTCAGATGAGATTTTGGACTTGGACTTTTGATTAACACTGGAATGAGTTAAGACTTTGGGAGACTATTGGGAAAGC